CCTAAACTACAAGTAACTGTAGCACTATCACTAACTCTGCAAATCACTAAGCACGTACACAATCTATGCTAATGAAAATGCGTCATTACACGCTACAATGATTTATTTACAACTTTTATAGGCTCAACTGAAATGTTGGAAAGGAAGTTAGCTTAATAGGTTTACCACAACTCCTTAGTTCTTTTAACGACCATTTCGTTACAGGCTTGTAGCAACAGTAACTGTTAGTGGTGAATCTGGAAGCTGTTGTGGCATGTTTTACGGTACTACGAAGAACCGTAAAAAATTAATCTCAAGACAACCAGCCCCAGACTCCGGAGTCGATCCCGGGACCATCCGAGGGATGGTAACCACCGCAACACGACCCTCGTTATTGTGACTCCAATTTTTCATTTTAAGACTCTGATTAGTTCGAAATGTCTCCGTTAATAGCGCTATTGGTACCGATTTTCATACAGAGTCAGTTTTGGTCTCTCTTTCCCAAGCTTTCCCCTACACCATTATTTTGCAGAACGTGTCTGCATCCAATAGCCCCGTTGCCATAGTAACAACGGTGGACTCATTCCCTGTTTCCATGGTTACGGGGAGGAAGGGGTGGAAGCCATTTCACAGTGCCGAATATCTGTTACAGCGGGAACGTAACTCTCGGAGTTTCCACGTTTAGGAGTGTGTCAGATATCCATTTATACCTAGGTTCTGGGATTTATGTACCATCGTATTACCCTTACTGCCCTACAGTTGAAGCAACTGAAATCAGAGAACGAAAATAAACTGAAAATGAGCTGCTCTTCTTTAAGTAGATAAAGTATTTTCATCAGTATTCACACCAGGCAAATCAAAGCAATTAAAATGAGTTTAAATTAAACACACAGCAACATATTGTAAAACACTATTAACGCCGTCCAATGTGATTGATATATGTTGTGTGTTTTCTTAATCTTTCACCCTTTTACATGTTTCAGAAGGACATTTCAATACATGCGGAAACTATTATTACAATGTCATTGGTCATTATCAATGTATACAGACACTACAATTTGTCTTCCTTTTGTGCTACAGCCCCAATTTCGGGCTTGGCCTTCCTCCATGAAACTCTCCGTTTCAGTTCCGTTTACTGGATTTTAGACATTCGGTAGGCCTCCTTGGGCGGGTGATCAGCTCGTTGCAAAGCCCCTAACTGTACAAAAACATAGAAAAACGCACACAAACAAACACTGAACATCCATGCCCTGAGTGGGATTCGAACCCACGATCCCGGCTTCCGATCGAGTGAAGACAGTGCATGCCTTAGACCGCTCGGCTACTGTGACCGGCGACAATACTATTGCAATATCATTAATAGAAAATATTATTCTTTAACAATTACTACGATGTGCATATATTTGTTGAAACATTTATAAATTATAATAATTGGTCTATTTACAAGAATTGTTTAAAAAATTGTTAAAATCTAGAACAAACTTGGTTCATGTCCTTTATACTGCCTCTCTTTAAAGGAAGACGAGTGTATACCGCGTCGTGGTTCCGTTGTTTGAAGAACAGGACTCTTCAGTGTCGCTGTCCAGCTGTTCGGGCCAAGCTAAATTCTTGATCCTACTGGGAATCGAACTCGGACCCCTCGGCCGTCCAGCCCGTAGCCAGTCGCTATCCCAGCTCTTAGTGTGTTTAAATAGAAACCATAACTTCATCGACAGCTTATTTAACGCCACTGTTTCTATTACTTTTGTCAAGCAGTATCAAGTCAAGTGGAAGAGGCTGTGAGCATTAAGCAGCGAGGCCGCAGCCTGTGTCCAGATGCAACCCGGCATTCGCGAACCGGTTGTGAAGACCTCGAGGCGTATTCTTGCGACGTCACTACAATAGAAACTATAACACAAAATGTTGAACAAGTCGTTTCACAGTCGGTTCTTTCGTGTTAACAACGCTCACTAGAGAGTCAAAGAATACGAGTATTCCTATGCAGTGTTTCACACACAAGACGTTCCCTAGCAACGAACCTTTTATGAAGGTTATCCAGTTTCCGTGGTAACGCCGTTACTGACCGGCAAATAACACGCAACGACTGGTAGAGCAAACACTACGACGACATGGTTCATAAGTCAAGGAATTAAAGGGGAAAGATATCTCAATTCCTCACTCTCCCAGAGCTTCGTTAGGGCACGCATATGTAGGAGTCCTGGTCACATTTCTTATACCTTCACTGGATAAACTCTTGGGTCGACTTTGGTTTTATTGCCTATGCAAGTGATGCCTATAACTTAAACAGAAGAGACAAAGTAGGACCCCTGAATACACTAAATCACGGTTTTACAAATCCAAACCACTGAGGAACCAGACTGTACTTTGTGTAGCTATCCGCTGCCCGCGTTATAAAATGTAGTGCTTGATGTTACATTCGTTGCTGTGCTTTCTTTCTTCTTCTTCTTTTTCTTTCTTGGCACTTCAGCCCCAGTGGGCGTAGGCCTACCTCCATGAAAATGACGTGCTTGCTTGAGAAAATTAGTGGCTGTGTGAAATTAAATACAAAAATTACATGAAATATTTACGTAATAAGCACTTCTCGTAAAGATCATTTCGAAAAATTCGAAGCTATCTTTTAAAGGATGAAAGTTTTTCTGCATTTTATTAATAATTATATTATGCAATATATTATCAATATTTTGTGCATATTATGTATATAAGAATACTGTGTATATTATATATACAGGAGGAATGCCTCAACACATAATTTGGGGAATAAAAGAAGGCTATTCATTCTAGTGGGCCGCACGTGGCCCGCGTGCCGTCGGTTGGACAGCCTTGCCCCAAATACTCTGCACTTGTTTCGAGTAAATTAATTACGGTTTCGTTTTGCTGGAATTCTTGCCTGGCAATGACTATACAAGAACGGAGGCCAAACTGAAGAGAAGGCACGCTTTTCATGAGCGCTAGTTTTTTCTGTCTCATCCCGGAGAGTACGTGACATGGCGGGTAACTCAACTGAGGGCTGTGGAATCACACTTTCACATTTCCAGTATCCGGGTTATCTTCACGAACTTGCATTTGCTATCTATCGAGAGTTCTGAACAAAAGCAACTAGCATACA